GGTGGAGATCCTTCTTGGATCCAATGTTTGTTCTAAAAGAGGTCCGTGTCTTTCTACAGGAGTATGTGATTGCCCTTATGGTTGGACTGGAGATAGTTGTGAATTTGCTATCTGTTTCAATGTTGCTGCTAATGATGCTTCAGTTTGTGGTGGAAAGGGATCTTGTATTGATATTGATAGATGCCAGTGTAATGCAGGATATAGTGGAACTAAATGCTCTGATTATTCATGTTTTGGAGTGCGATCCAATTCAACAACAGTTTGTTCTTCACATGGTGTTTGTCTTTCTCCAGATAAATGTCAATGTGCTTTGACTCTGGAAAAAGGATTTTGGAACGGACAACAGTGTGATTCTTGTAAACTACCTTATACAGGAGTTAAATGTAATACCATTCCCCAAACTGACAAATGTCAAGACGATGTTACTTGCTTTGGGCATGGTAAATGTAACTCAAAAGGAAGCTGCGTTTGTACTGGAAACTTTTATGGAACCAACTGTAATGGTTGTAAAACTGGATACTATGGTTATGATTGTAATGTTTATTGCGATCCAAAAATCACATGTTCTGGAAATGGATATTGTGACAGTATATTAGGAGGTGTTTGTACATGTAACAATAACCTATCAAATGGTTATTTCACTGGAACTAATTGTAACAAGTGTCAATCTGGTTACTATGGAAAGAAATGTTCAACTCAAATATTGGGACCTCCTATAGTATCAAATCTTGGCAATAGCATGACCCTCACAATAACTGGAGTCTACAGCAAACAAAATATTCCATGTAGTAGAATTTTGACAACTCCATCAGTGGAAAGAACAACCGTTGTGGAGAATTTGTTATTGAATTTGGAGATGCTTACGATATTTCTCCAGGAGAATCAACAATCCTATTTAGAACTGACATGTTAGATGATGTTCAATCCACAAACCCTTCCTATCAAACAATGAAGATTGGAAAACCTCTCAATCCTATAATTCCAATAGCTAAAATTCAAAAGAAAAAAACTGAATTTGGAGCTTGTGAAGATTTATTGTTAGATGGGTTGGGAAGTTTTTC